AAGGGGTCTCCTACAGCTATTCATAAGTAAATGAAATAGACCGAGACAAATACTAACCGCTGCGAGCCAAGTAATTGGCGAGCTAATGTTAGTACAGGTGAAATAGAAACCTGAAACACGAAGGTCTAGTTTGCATGGCCTGAGTGAGTAAATCGTGAAAACGAAAACTGCTAACCCTAGCATATGTCCACAAGACCTATGAACCATAAATAGTAAGTGTCACGTGCAATGTAAACTGTCACGTGACCATGAAGCGCTGAAACCGTAACACAAGCTCCCCCTTCCAACCGGCAAGACCCTTGACGACCACTCACCAGACTAACCCCTCATCGCCCGCCGTGGATGCCTACATAGCCGTAGACTGGGATGGTGGTATGCGGGACGACCTCCCATTCCGCGTCGAGATCCTCTTGGGGTTGAGGATGGAACTCGGTGGGTGCCCAGTGCGAGATGGACCCATCTTCATAAAGGACTGCCTTCAGTGCCTCGACCCCATCGGTAAGCCACCCAGGCTTCTCGATCATGGCGACGAGGGGTTGGAAGATGACCGGCGTGAACTCACGAGGTGTCTTAGCATCTCCGTAGTGGACTTGATCGGAGAACGTCCTGAACAGTTCGACCTCGTATTGCTCGACGCCTTCTTCCTTGCCCGCGAAGCGAACGCTGAGGATGCGCGTCCGGTTGGGTGTTGGATGCCAGTCATGCATGCCTGGGATGGGTGGCGGATAGAGCAGAGTGACCCATTGGCTGAAGACGCGATGAGGTGAGTCCTCCGAGTAGAGGTGCCAGGTGACCTTCTGGTTGTCCCAAGTGAAGACGAAGGCGTGGAAGGTGGCGAAGTCGCCCGTGCCCGTACGATGGACGTAGAGACGATGGCCATCGCATTCCATGAGGAATGTTAGTGGCGTAGCGATGAAGACATCGTAGGGTGATGCTACGTCTGGGGCGATAAGCGATACCTGTCCTGCCGCTGGGTTGCTCGAGGACTTGACCGTTCGAGCGTACCTGATCTGCTCCTTGATAGTGTCAGCGGGTGCTGGTTGCGATCCGTCCTCCGGCGTGGTGTTATAGGGATAGGTGGCACCAGGATGGTGAGGGTCGTCGGGTTGTTCATCGTCGGCACTCCCTGCCTGTTCATCGTCGCCGCCCCAAGGTCTCCCCGTCGTCCAAGATCCTCCCGTCGTCCATCGACCTGTCTCGTCTTCATCGTCTCCCCATCGTGCACTTCTCCATGACTCGGCCAGTGCTTCGTCGCTAATGTTGTTCAGGAGCGGGATGTCGTCTCCGTCACTGTCGATGAGGAGCCCTGGCTCGGATGCGCTACGAGTGACGGTGGTGGTGACACGGATGTTGAGCGACATTGGTGGAGGTGGTAGAGCGGGGCGATTCTCTGTATCCCAAGAGTAGATTTCCTCGTAGAGTTCCCACTCGAGTAGGAGGAGGCGATGGTCCAGTAGGGGAAAAGGGGGGCCGCTACTTATACCTTCGAGCAGCCGTTCTTCTTCTTCATACCAGTCCATGATGTGAATGTTGGCCATTCCCGTGCGTTCTTCCACTGGTATTGTCATTATCCTTGATACGGTACCGTGTACGACACTGAATGCATCCAGAGCGAATGAGAGTGCTGCCGGTAAGATATCAAAGTGTAGCGGATGATCTAGAGCGTACGATGGTGGGAGGATTCCCACTGGAAGGCCAGCGTAGACGGCTGTTAGGATAGTCCAGCGTCGATCTGGCTCTAGCCGGGGCAGGTGGAGTTCCTCCGTTAGGTACATTGGGTAGTTCATTCTCATGAACGTTCCCCATGTTCCGTCTAGGTCGATATCGACGTCGTCCTCTAGTGTTACCTTCGGCTTGTCCGTTTGGAAGGGAAACGGGTATGAAATTCTGATTAGCCCGCTGGGACGGGGGGTTAGATATGGCTGTCGTCGAGTTGACCTGAAGTTGTCCAGGAGGTGGACTTCGTGAACGTCGTCTGCTCTCTCGATGAGATCGTTCATCATGACTTGGATGGGTCGTGTTGAACTCGACGTTGATATGGTCGAAGTCGGCAAGATCCTCGATGGCGAATCCAGCCCCTCTGATGGCGA